ATATATATATATATATATATATATATATATATATATATATATATATATATATATATATATATAAACCGCCTCAAAAAATTGGATAAAGCTTTAATTTTTTATTTTAAATATGATAAGAAAATTAAAAAAAAAAAACTTAATATGAACCGCGTAATAAGATATTCGCAAACCGCCTCAAAAAATCTGGAGAAACCGCCTCAAAAGATTTATTGAACCGCCTAAAATAATGAAACCGCATCAAAAGATAAGAATTCATCAAAAGATTTATTGAACCGCCTAAAATACCTAAAGCGCTCGAAACCTCTATAGCGAATTCATAAACCCTTCTGTGATACCTTCATTGTCGACACCGACGGAATTCCCGTTTTAGTGGTCCCGGACGGCTAAGTCATTGCTAAACTCACACTTTTCGGACACATTCACTAACTCCGCGGTCCATGAAATTCGCTCCACAAGTCTCAGCGTCACATTGTCAGTTTTGAGTTTCTTGGTCGTATAAGGTATGTGTATATTGATTTGTTATTGTCTCGACTAAGGTGTATATATATTGATTTGTTTTCAAAAAGTTTTATTGTTAAAAGGTGTTTCGAATCTTTTAGAATTGAACGTGACTGTCTCATGTCATATAGTTTTAGAATCTTTAGAATCTTTGCAGTATTGATTTTTTGTTGTGAAAAAATGTTATTACTTTACATTATAGTTTAGAATATTTAGAATATATAAACGTGACTGTCTCCTGTTTAATAAATGTAATACTTGGCCCCACATATATGGGGTCTACCAATTTATTGGATTGATCCTTTTCAATTTATGTTGGATTCTTGTTTTGTATTCATGGAATATACTATTGTATTGGATTATGGTTTTTGTCCTTTTCATTTATTGGATTGTATTGGATTATGATAAAATTATTTTTAATTTGTTCAGTGTTGTTAGGCTTATACAAATGGAAAATGTACGAATAAGAAAAAGAAGATAACACGGTATTGATGCATTTAAGTCAAAGATTTTTCCGGAAAAGTATAAAGTGAAGTTTGATAAAAATAATATCCCAAACGGTGGCATGCCAACTAAGTTTAGTTCTTGGTTTGGCATGAGATTTCCTATAGATATAGAGACCCGTAAACTTGAAGAAACATATTTTAAAGATTTAAGGTTGGAAATCAAGGTATTTATATTTTAATTTATTACCAATATAAATAACTTGTTAATTAATTATTATGTTTAACCTCTTTTGTTTTGAAATTGTAGAAACAGTGAAACATAGAGTCTGATGATCAGGAAAATTATATGAAGAAGAACGCTGTGAAGCTTGCATCAAATTTTAAATCATTCCTAGTTTTAAATTTTGTGAACCACGTATTGAATGCTTGTCTTAAATATGATTTTATAAAACCTGATGTATGGGAAAGATTAGTTACACAAAAAACTAACTCGATTTTTTGGTATATTTTAACTGTTTATTTATTATTATTATTATTATTATTATTATTATTATTATTATTATTATTATTGATAGTATTATTAGTATTTTACAAATAATTAATAACATTTTGTTGATATGTGTGAAGGCAAAAAGTGCAAAAGCTAAAGAAAGCAATGCCAAAAGGTTATTCATTATGCGTTTAGGACGAAGGAATACGAAATACGAGTTTCTGGGTCGTATACAAAATGAACGGTCTATGTTGTATTTAATGGATTTTGCAATGATAAATAAAGAAACCAATACGTACAATCTTCCCCAAGGGACAACTCAAGATTTTCATTTTTTGGTAAACAATTATTTTTTCACTTTATGAAGATTTTGATTTGTTAGTAAATATATCTTACCAAGTATTTTTTTTTTCATAGGAACAAGAAGAGAAAAGAATGATAGCCGATGGGAGTTATGTTCAAAATAAGGAAGACCCGTTATTTAGACTATTAGGACGCAAGCACGGGGGGCGATCACGGACAATATCCAATATAATTGGCCCTACTCAGGTTTACGGTGGATTGTTTAAGAATGTGGAAAATAGTCGAAGCACTAGACCACAGGTTGACATGATCCCAACAATCCATGAATCTAGTGGTGCGTCTGGTGGACGGTTGACAGAATATCCACCTATTGAGGTAATACATTTATAGCTTCCACATAAAAAAATATATATATGTATATATTATAAGTTATTTTTTTTATATTATATTTACAAAAAATGTTGTATGATTTGTAGGTTAGGACAGAATGTGATTTGCTAGTGAATCTGGCTGATACCCAATTGAAAGTAGCTACTGGTATTGCATGGCCAACATCTGAAACGGTCATACATTCGCAACCAATAAGTAAAGGTTGTGCGAAAGTATAGGTTGATGAAATCGTCGAAATATATGAGACCTTGTCTGTGCATGCCGTCACACGAACGGAAGAAGTTGAATATGTTAAACATCTTCTGCATACCCTCGTTCAGTGGCCGAGATATGCAATAAAGGTATATTTATATTTAAATATAACTATATATTTTAGTATATATTTATTTAAATATTACAAAATATTGTATCTTGTGAACAAGATGTTGGATTAGCTGTCTAAGTTCATAATTATTCCTGGAATGTACTTGACCCGGTTGGCATGGTCCATTTGGGTTGCATTGCATTGCAACACTTGGATAGACTAAATGAGAGAAGGGACACTTAAGGATTATTAATATATTATAAGTTCTAATATATTAATAATATTATTTAATTAGTATTGATCAAAGAATTAATTTGGAATTAATTAAGTGATCAAAAGGAGACTAATTAAATATATGGGGTTGATTGTGTAAATCATCTATTCTTGTATAGTAGGCTAATGATCCATGGTTTGTATGGATTGGGTTAAACCCATAAGGTGCTCCATGGATAATCCATGGAGGTTACAAACCCATGGATCATGGAATATGGAAAGCCATGACAATTAGGGTTTACATGGTGTAACCCTACTTGTGCCACAACTATATAAAGAACCCTATGCAAGCAAAATCGGTACTATGACTACTACTTGTACAAGAAAGAGGGCAAGCCGATTTTGAGGTGTAAGTGATGGGTTTCGAACAATACATCATTCCTATGGTGTACATGCAAACCCTAATAGCTTTTGGATCTAGTTTGTCTA